GCACCTTTTTTCCATGACTAAGACGAGACTAAGATGTGACAAAAACGATCTTAAAAAATAAAAACTATGACTAAATATATTCTAACTTTCGTTAACGAGACGAGACGAACATGTTGGTGGTTTTTCCCACCCAGGTTTTTCCCAGACAAAGTACGGCCCCGTACGCGGATATTAACGCGTCACGATGACGTCATCCACGAACCCAGAACGCGTGCTCGCATCTGTGCAGCGGTGGTTCTTGTGCACCGACTACGGGCCGCGACGACTATTTTACGCTTCGGCGAGTTTGAATGTGCGCTTTGTTAGTTTAGCTCAGCTGTCTTGGTTTAGCTGACTGTTAGCAGGCTGAAGCCGCGCTGCTTCACAGAAACATGAAGACCCGTTTAACAGACTGTCGGACCTTTCTGCTCTGTTCTCTGGCGACGGCAGGCAGCATTTCCTCGGCTGGATGAGACGCCCCGTTACAAACACGTCTAACATAATAAAGTCATTGCAGGTTCTGAAGCCAAGAAAATAATGTATTGCACCGATTGTAGGACGTTAAGGGGTCTCTTTTGTTGGGACAATGGAAACAATAAAGGACCATGAAGTTTCCGGTGGCCGTGTCAAAAGCATTGCAAGTAAACTGACAAAGACCACAAAATGTTGCGTTTAGGTCCCTGGTCCTCATGAAGTTGTTACACCTTTGCCAATTTGTTAAATTTTCTTGCAAATAAATGCTTTGCTATTTGTTAAAATCCAAATCCTTTCATGTAATGATTTTTCACATGTCATTTATATTAGCTCACACAAACACTTTTGGCCCGCAAGTCAAAACGTTTGCTATAGACCTGTCCTAGGAGGGACATCTAATGGACCACCAAGTACTGCAAGCTAGACTATTATGCAGTTGTAGACACAACACAGGGGGTCCCTGGGCCTGAGAAGGGAAGAAAAGGAGTTTAATATGGCTATTAAATGTGACTAAAACTAGACTAAAACAATGACATTTTAGTCTAGTTTTCGTCGACAAAAACTAGACTAAAATGCTCTGAGTTTTCGTTGACGAAAACTAGACTAAAACTAAGAAGGATTAAAATGACTAAATGTGACTAAAACTAATATGCATTTTTCGTCTGAAGACTAAGACTAAGACTAAATCAAAAATAGCTGCCAAAATTAACAGTGTTCTGCAGAAGCCCAGAGCGCACAAACCGAGCACTGGCTTCAGATAGTGCCGTTCGTCTTTTCTAGTTGTTGCATCGGCTGCTCTATTCCTCCGGCACGCTTGGCACACAAGAGAAGTTTCAGTTAATTGCATCCTCACCGCTTAGATGAGGCCAAATTAGATACACACTGGCCCTTTAACTAGCCAGCAAGTTTAAATGGTGCAACCCGCTTTGGTGAACCAATATTTTTGCGATTAGCGTGAGCTCAAAGGGATTTACAAATAGCTAGTGAAGCCCAATCCTGCGTCTTATAGTAAAAATGGATTTAACATGACTGAACCCTCTTCTGTTTTCATTGCACACACTCTTGCCGGATGCTCGACAAGCCTCCTGACTCCTGCCATTTAATGTAACCCCATTGATCTAGCTGAGAGCCAAGCAAATCCAAAGCCCCCTGTCGCAGCTCTTTAGTCTTAATCTCACCAATCGGCAAACAGCCACCCATAAGCAGGCAGAATTTTACAGCTTCAACGCCATGCAAAACTGTAAATTCATTCCCCTATTTGCCTTTTTTGTTTTTTTACTGTCAATCCGGGAGTGTCGCATACCTTACCTGCATTTGCTCCTCCACAAACCTCCACCCTCCACATGGACACAATTATCTTATGTCCACGTGTATGCCAGCGCCATGTACTCTCCTGTTGGAGGTTAGCACCTGCTGTCAGTATATCAGGGAGGCTGAGACAAAGACAAGGCCGGGGACGGAGGCGAGCAAGGTACTTATACATTAGCGGATAAAAGCCCCTGTTGCTTTTTTCACCTCCTCACACGCTGACAGGTCCGCTTTCATCTGCCAAGGTTCAAGGCGAGGACGGAGCTGGTTTATGGCGCTTTGCACTTAAAACAACCACCTCTGACTCGCCGCCTGCACCCCCTCCGGCTGCCTCCACCCAGTACACCTCCAAGGGACACTGCTGTTCCCCCCTCTCCCTCTCTTTCCTTAATGCAAAATTCTTTTTAGGGTGGCGGCTTTCTTCTCTTTTGACTTCACTGCATCCAGAGAGGCAGCCCCGAGAGTTTTCCTTAGATAAAAGGCCTGTGAGGATTTGCGTGTGTCCACAGGGTAGTGATGAGTATCCTAGTTGTGTGTGTGTGTGTAGCAGGTTCCTCTCAACTGTGTGTTTGAAAAGGCTCGATGAATGTCCAGGCTTTTGTTTGTGCTTTTTTAAAATGCATAAATACATATTTTTCCTTCTTTTTTTTTGCCATCCGGGCTTGTTCATTGTTGTGGAGAGCGTGCGCCGTGGGCGTGCGGCTGCCGCTTGCCTGTTCAACAGGGGTGACCGAGAGAAAAGCGAGATAGACAGACAGCAGAGGAGGTAAATCGTAATTAAAGTTTTCAGTCTCGTTAAGTTGGTGACAGCACACAATCGATGGCGAGGATCTGCCTCAAATACTAATACTTAAAAGACATTTGAATTTGAGCAGAAATGGGAACCTGGATGGGGGAATTAATTAAGATATATTAAGGGTATGGCCCCAATTAATTAGGTCACTGAGAAACCTGCTCTAGGTGTAGAGAACTTACAAAGAAATACAGTGCAGCTGGTTTAGATCTGCAAGAAAGTACCGCAGCGATGCGTTACCTAAAACTCTAATTAGGAAGGGAGAGGTCCTTGGAGCTGCTGTATCATCCTTTCATCTCTATTTACTCTAATAGAAATCATGCTTCCATACGTAAAGGCCACAGGTGAAATCCCCGTCCTTGCTGGTTGCACACATGAAAACAACAATTTTGCCGTATTCAATTATATAAAACTCTAATGAGGAAAAATGAGCTCCCCTGTGCGACAAACAAAAGCACATACTTATCCTCACTCACTGCTGTACCGAGCCGAGGTAATGTCACGACAGCAGCTCTCCCCGAGAGCGGCCACGTCAGGATGTACGTGAGGCTACAGAAATGCTTTCATTCTGATCTTAAGCACGCAACGTGCTGTTAAATATAAAAAAAATTGAATTAAAACAGCATCTTTTTAATTTGTATTCTTGCTTCAACAGCGCTTTAAAAGAAATCCTTTCATTGACAAAATGCCCCGTGTGAAAAAGCGCTCTTTAACTTGTGCTCAGCTGACGACGGTAGAACGTTGATATTTGGCCCTGCGTGCTGCAACCTGCCGCGGGCTTGTTAACCAGATGCCCGTGGCCGTGATTGCCTGGCCATCGAACTCCCAGCTGATAAGTTTCTCTAAGAGGGAGAGGAGCCCTGGGATTGAATTTGCCCCGATCTTTTTTTAACCACAGGGTAGAGACTATATTCTGGTATTCGATGACTAGATGCGTATGCACATTTGCGACGTTGCAGCCCGTCGTCAACATGGTAGCTAGCGACACACCTGCCACTTCCAATGCGCCAAGGCCGAGGAAGGAGATTGGCTGATTGATGGGAGCCTCAGAGTGAACAGGGTGAGGGACACAGTGACAGGCCTGTGATTGACACAGATGAGGGAAGGAGGAAAGGATAGGAGGGAGCGGCAACTAGAGGACAGGATACTAAAACAATAGCCAGTTAAAGAGGGGGGATAGAGGGAGATTTAGGGAGATGGATAGGCCCGAGGCCGAGACAGGCGGTGAGTGGGAGATGTGGGAAGAGAGAAGACGGAGGAAGGCTGGATCATCTTTTTCTTTTTTCACACCGTTACTGTTTCTCAAAAGGCTTTACTTATTGAAAGAGAGCCTGAGATAGAGAGCGAGGAGGCTGTGGACGTTGAGGAGAAAATGAGAGAGGGGGGATGTTAAAAGGACGGAGGTCAAAACTTAAGTCACGCCCCAGTCAATGTGCTGACACACACAAGCAACACCACGTTGCACAGGACGAGATGAAACGGGAACTATTTAACCCACAGCACACTCATGTTTCAATTAAATACATTTTACAGACCAGGCTGATTTTTTGTTAACAGGAAAATGTAATTTTAAAATACAAAAACAACCTGTTTTGACACGGTAAAGGTCAGCTAACTTACTGTGAAGACTCACTTAATTCAATATGTAAAACCGGGTGCATTATGTCTTCCGTGGCTGTAAATAACCTTGATGATGGCGTATAGGAGCTGAATTAAGTCTTCAGTAAAGCGCCGTTAGCTCTGCTAGCATCGTTATAGGCCGCCGAATTTTTGACAGAAAGTGTTATGGTGTGTTATAGAAATGCAATGCCAGAGAGCTGCAGTTCCCATTTTTAAATAGTTTTACACATCAAAACACATATTTTGTCTGCACAAGGTAATATTAAATTGTATATTTGGCAAATAGTCACATTATAGACTTATCAGACACTTAGGCTGATGTTGGTGAAATACTACGAAACTCTTGTGTAAAAAGAGGCACATTGATTGATATCTGACATTTTGACATGGTCTAGGATTTCCATTTGAGTCTTGAGTGCATGAGTCAGAGCCGAGGGAGCTATTACATCACTCAAGGCGACGGTACGGCAAATCTACAGGTTGCGTTCTGACTGATCAAAGCACAATATTAATCCAGCTAATTAATCACTCATCAAAGTGATGTCAAGTAAGTAAAAAAAAAAAAAATCCTTGACAGTTGCTCCCATTAACAGCCGCTTAGAGGGTTTTCTCAGTGTTACTCTTTTGATGATAACTTTGCCGGCGAGAAAAAAACACTCGGGTCATTATGGCGGTATGAATAGAAGTGTGTTCTAAAAAGCCCTTGTTAAAACGGGCTGCTCTGCATTGTCCTGCTTCCTACCTGTCTACGCCACACCACTTTTAATTAACGCTCTGCAGTGATTACAGTTTTAACTAAATTATCTTCTTCTTATCTTTTTCTCAGGGGGTCCAACCTGCTGTCGGAAACTGACTGAGACGCCACGCAAGAGGAGCGGGAAAGAAACCAACAGAGAGAGCGTTGGTGAGAGAGAGGAAGATATAAGCCAACGGGAAGAAAGAAAAAAGAAAAAAAAAGAAAGGGGAGGAGGAGTGACTGACACCTGCCCTCCAGCTCAGTGTGAAGGGCACGGAGTGAGAGAGTGAGGGGCGGGGTATGAAAAGAGGTAAAACAGAGGAGAGAATGAAGACAACCGGAAAACAAGCCCTGCCTCTCAGCAAACCTCGCTCAAATTAGGACATCTCGCCCCAAGACAAGATGATTACAAGAAATCTGCTCCTTTTGGTTTCCCTTTGCCTGTGGGAGGGGCTCGCAGGATCTGCCGCGGCCAATAAGATCGTACGGAGGAGAGGGGTGGGCGGATCGCACACGCTGAAACTAGGGGATAGCAGAGCTGTGGACCAATGGGACGCAAGCGTTGACAGCAACGCTATGACTTTGGTGACTCTTAGGAACCCGATGAGCCATGAGCAGGCGGGTGACCCCGTCGCCGTTACTTATTCCAAAATGTTGCAGAGTCATGCCGCTCCATCGGTGGCGAACAAGGAGAGGCAAGCTTTCAAGCCCAAGCGTGAGGTTGACTCAGTCAACAGAAAAGAAGTGACTTTGCACATTTTAGACAATACCAAGGAGCTAAACCAGGATGTGAAGAAAGTCAAAAACAACACCAAGAACGCTGAGACCTCCACCAGAACAGGAAGGCCGGACAAGACATTCATAATCCGCCGTATACCGGATCTACACACCAATAAATCCAGGTTCAAATCAGGCCTGAGATCCAGGACCAGACCCGATTTGAGTGTCCACACCACAGGTGTGCCAGGGAAAGGATTCAGCATTGATACAAGCCGAAAGCTTAACCTTACAGGCAGCTACGGGGTTCTCAAGCTGCTGTCGAAAGACAACCTAGTTCGGATCATAAATTCTCAAATGCAGAGCGCTCCCAGCCTGAGCTTTCCAGGCAAGGGCAGCCGGAGCAGGAAGAGAGATTTGATTGACGTTAATCACGGACAGTTAGAGGCTCAGAGAGTGCAGAGACAAGATATAGCTGTCACTCAGCCTCACACTGGATTGGATAATCAGACAGCATTTCCTTATTTAAGCCCAGTCACCACCCCGGATCTTAATAGAGACCAGGGAGCCGACAATCGTATTAATCCACTTAGTGAAGTGGACCCAGTTATAAGTACAGGGCAGGGCAACTTGGGGAAGCAGAGATCAGACGGCGGAGATAGCAAGAGCAAACACCTCGTCCGCTTACTGTCAACACCTCACAGCGAGGTCAGTCTCAGCCCCGAGAAAGTGGCAATAATCACCCAAACAGAACCACCATTTCCATCAGCAAAACTTCTCCCGCTGCGCATTCCCTCTGAAATGGATGATTCTCCGCTGTCTGCGCTGACAGCACATCCCCCGGGAGTCCGACCGGGGAGCAGAGCCGCAGATCCCCATAGAGACCCATTAACGGAGTCAGCTCACTCTGCTCAAACAGAAGTCAGCACAGCTCAGCACCCCGCAGATGAAGACAACCAACCTGTCAACAGCAGTCATGTCCTGAGGCTCCGCCCCGCCCCAGAGTGGAGCCGCGACGGCAAAGACGCCGGGATGCAAGTTTCTGCCGATCCCAGAGACGAGAAGGGCCTTGTGTTTGAGGAGGTCGAGGAGACAGAGGAGAAGGAGGAGGCGGAGGAGGCGCCTGACCACACGGAATTGACGAGGCCGCGGTCTCGCAGCAGGAGGAGCTGGATCTGGAACCAGTTCTTTGTGATCGAAGAGTACGCCGGGCCTGAACCTGTGCTCATCGGACGGGTAAGGAAAAAGAACAACTACATTCATCTTTCACGAGGGTTGTGAACTCATTTATGAATATTCAAGACTCTCCGACTCGTTTGCTCGATCTCATACAAGAGGTGCTTAGCATAATTCAACCCCACAGTCACGCCAACCACCAATTCTTTTTTGGGATTATGTGTATTGTTAAAAACCTGCAATTGGAATTGATTGAACCACATTGCTCCAGCGCAATGTGGTTCCTTCCAGGTAGAAGTTAAAACTTTAATGAATCAATGGATTACTGAGGCACAACATAAGCCCCAGATCTCTTCTGCCCAAGGGGCTCGTCATGATGGACCCACCAATGGAAATTGACACATCCAGGAGAATTAATGGCTTTACCTTTTCCTTCCACCATTGATCCTCGCCCCAAGGTAGAAAGCAAGAGTAGACCAAGCGTTCCCTCATTTCCCTGTAGGTCAGACCTGTCAGCTCTCTTCCCTCACGGTCAGAGGTCTGCAAGGTCCCGCTAATGCTATTCCATTCAGGCTGATTTACGCTTGCTTTGACGGGATTTATCATCTCGTTCTTCCCCAGCACAACGCACACCGGGCTCTTGTCCTATTGCTCCGCTCAGCCATTTATTACAATCATTGACTGGGCCTGTCTCGCCGCGCAGTGCCCGACGCCACACCCCCTCCTCCTTTTAAACGAACTCAGGGGGGGGTCACGCGGACCGGACAGAAGGCTGTCTCCAAGCCCTTGCTCCGTAATCGCTCCTCACGGCCCTCGGCATGTGCCAAATGTCTCAGTACCCAGCTGTGGTAGGTGAACTAATTGATAAGCCTGTGCGGCCAGTTTTGGTGAGCAAATGAATAGCGAAGTTGCGCTGGTGGCTTAGAACCTCGGCTCAGTGGGGGGTTTCTTGCGCTCGATAACTCCCAAATGGCCCAAATTGCTTTGTATTTGTAGGTTTTAATATCCAGGTGCACGGCAGCCTACTCTCTCCCAGGGTGCGCCATAGGATTAGCCAACATCTCATTTGCCCAGTTTCCCTCCGCACTGTGACTGATCGAGCCGAAGGCTCTGAAGCGCCGTTATTTGCTGCGGAGAAAGAGCAAGAGCCAACGGTCCGGGTTACAAATGGCAGCGCGTGTAAAACCATTAGTGCCAATCTGCTGTGTCAAGCAGGTATTTATGCTAGCGCATTGTATGGCACTGAAGGAAGGAACATCGCCAGGCCACACACATGCCCATATGATAGTGCTGACACTTGGAATACACCCAGCACGCTATTGTGTGTGTGTGTGTGTGTGCTTGCGCCGGTTGCCAGAGATGCTAATGATTAGTACCCTACTGTATCAGACAGTGACAGCACACATGCATAATGCTCTTATAGATCTTAATACGCTTATGAATTTTTAATCCCCCGCTCTGCTATGGCGCAGCAGTGCTATAGGTAGAGAGATCAATGCGGACCCGCTGCTGTGTTTTATTTTTTTTGTTTGTCCCCTATCTGGGACTTGATTGTGCTTCACCGGAGAGACCCGCTGCTTAAAGCGAGAAGGAATCCACTGTACTGGCCAGAGCGGCTCAACCTGCCAGATACAGCACCGTCCAAATTCCAGGCCTGATCAGCTGCAAACGCTCTTGACTGTGACTCGCGATACGTGTCTCCACCGCGGTCGGTTATACCGCCTGTATATCCGAAGGTGTGATTGTGGATTTAATTGTGAATTCTATTTTAAAAATACTCCCCCTAACACTGATTCATGGTGGGTTTTTTTCTTGTTTTTCTGTGATCTCGGGACGGTTCTGTTTGGATCAATCTCAACCAAAGCTGGAATCAAGAGCCAAGGCTCTAATCTGTGATGTCAATGGGAGACAAAAGGCGCTGCTGCTGAAGTGATAAGGGCCAACTTTGTGGACCGGGTGACACTACCCAGTTATTATTTTTGCCTGGATATTTATAAGCACTTTTATTGGAAGCGCTATAAAAAAACCAAACAGCTATTCTCAAATCCAAAAGAAGCAGCCAACGAGTCGCAGGCTGTCAGTTTGAGGCTGTTGCAGTGGCCTTTGTAATCTCTTAATACCATCAAGGATGGTTTTGGTTTACTGAAGTATCTTCCTTTTTGGTCCTTTTTCAGGTTCGCAAGAGTTGCCAACAAAACAGCGTGAGAATATATAACTCTCCGTTTGCCTCTCTTCACACATTCACACACGCTCACATACTCAGACGATGCCAGGTTTCTATATTTTCTCACACTGAAGAGTTTCTGCCCCATGATAATTGTGAATTTAATTGATGCCGTCACATGGTCTGTAATGGAGTTTCATGTGATTGCAGAAGCAATGTGAAAGAAACAGTGTTTTTTTTATCTAGGAGAAAAGGCGCCTCAGCAGAGCCGGGATTAAGAAGAAAAGAAAGGAAAAAAAAACACCACTTTCTGATTAGCTTTTCTTCCTCTCCTCTTGAAATGCAAACTCCCCAACACCTCGCGTGGGGAGGCAACGTGACAAATATACAGTAGCCTCTGCCTCTCTGGGAGATGAACATCTTCATCTTGGCTCAACTCATAACATGTGCGAGCGCTACATCACCAGTGCAACAGGGAACGGACCGGGGCCATCATCATCATCCTCATCATCATCATCATTAGCATATCATTAGCATCAGCATAAACATACATAATTCATAGGTAGTAATATACGCCTGTATTACACAATTAACATTGTTGCGCTCACATTGCGTCGCGCTGTAGACATTAAGCATGCAGACATGGCGGTGCATTAGTAATTAGACCCGCTCGCATTCTGACACTCCAAACAATGCCCACCAATTCCCAAGGTACGCCGATACTTAGCTCTCTTATTGTGTTGAATCATTCATTCACAGTCTCTGCTGAAAATTGTTCCGCAAAAGGCGTTTAAAAGATTGCTCCAGCCCGGAGGCATCTAAAGGCGAATATTACACAGTTATTGACCGCTCTTGCGCTCTTTTGTGGGCGCGCCTCCGGCTGCAACGTGCGCACACGCGATATTGCAAAAGTGCTTGCAGGAAGACGCCGGCGGTGGGATGAAAAGAGGCGAGGAAGTTAAGTGCTGGTGTATAAGACTGGATTTAGTTTTTTCTTTGATGCTCATTCCAGCAAAGCCCCTTTTAGTCATTAGTGGGAAGCAGCTAGGTACAGTCATGTGCAACGTTGAGGTTAAGTGCCTTTACGTAATGATTTACGTTTCACGTTGAGTTTCAGAGGGAAATATTTGACCTTTTATTTCACATTTATTTCTCAGCTGTAGTTAGTGGTTTCAATGATTTTAGTCACAAAACACATAATCAACACGCCACTTTTGCGTGGTTGAATTAGCTAAAATGGCAATTTGAAACGCTGTGGATGCATTTGTAATACTAATACCGTTATTTATATTATAATTTCCCCTATGGGCTCCTACTTATGATTAATAACCCGTGATAAAGTGGTGTTATTATTTCCTTGATTCTGAAGGAGATCGCCATAGTTTGAATGAGGTGTTAGCGTCACAACGGGGAGCGCAGAGTTTGTGATGGTTTACAGGCACTGAATGTGCTGTTGAGATGCATTATGGGAAGAGCTTGATTTCTACTATACGCCTCCTTCATTAAGTCTGTCTTATGCAACTCAACAACTGCTCCCAACTTTCTGAAAGAAAAAAACATATCATCCTGCAACATTATAACATTATTTATTTCACTATTTTAACAACATTTATATAAAGTATTTAATTTAAGAGCTGGGTAACTGTTGAATTATTGTCAGGCAACATGTGCAATCGCAACCTTACACCTAAAGTACAAGCTGCACCCAATGCTTTGAATGCATAACCTTTATTCAGCATGTTCACACTATCGTATTGCTGCTTTTACTTACCTCCCCTGAGCCGATTAGACGCCGACAGAAACACACGACTCGTTTTAAAATCATTCACATTTGTTTCACAAACGCATTACAAGAGACAGAAAGCCTGTACGTCGTGCTGCAGAGTCACAAACAACTCAGATAAAAGGTTCCTTTATGAAACTGGAGAGGGGGTTGGAGTCATGCGGACAAGAAACATTAACGTGTGTGATGGGGCCAACGGGAGGGCCGGCAACTGTAAATACACACTTCATGACAAGGAACTCATCAATAATGATTAAAATAAAAATAAATCTTGTTGGGACCAGATCTGTGCTTTTCACGTGCTTCCACTCTTCCACTCCCTGCAGACATCATTTAGCCTCCGGGTCCATGCACAGCAGGGGTGACACAGCAATTAGAGAGTGACTACAGTGCTGGGAGGGAGGGAGGAGAGGAGGAGATAACGAGACAGAGGAGTGCCAGATTACCCGGCAGGATGAAAAAGGGATGACGCGGTAGCAAAGGGGTGAAAGCAGCGAGAGAGGTTAACAAAGAAAGGGGATGCGCAACATTTTAAGGGCAGCGTTAATGCCATGTGGATACACGGGATGGGGGTGTGGGGGGGATAAAGGGAAAAGTGGTGGAAAGTGTGGAAAGGTTAATAGCTTACAGGGAAGGGGAGGAACGTGTGAGGCAGTTTATGGGAAAGGAGAACGGGAGACACAGCGAGGGGGAAGGAGGAGAAGATCACACACACGTTTGCTGCGCTGACCTCTCGGCCCCCACGAAGCCCGAGGCGAGCCGTGGACACACAGGCAGGATGGACAAAGAGAGGGTTGTGAAAAGAGGCAGCGGTGGAAACCAGGGCATCGGCGAGGGGACGGGTCGGGTTTACACGGAGGGCAAATACGAGAGCAGAGGGGGGTGGGGGTGGTTGACAGAAAGCAGTTAAATTGTCACGGTGTGGGTTTGTTTCCTGTTTTATTTTGTAGTTTCCTGCCCCTTGTGTCTCTGGGGTAACTTTACTTCCTGCCTTGTCCTGTCAACCCCAGTGATTGTCTGATTGTTTCCACCTGTGTCCAATCACCTGCACCTCCCAGTGTATTTAAGCCCTGTGTGTCATGTGTCTTTGGTCGCGTCATTGAATGTTCAACC